GCAGTAAGTACCTTTAAGTTCGAACTAAGATACTTCGACTTCAGCTACGTTAGCTGAAGTTGTGTATCTTAGTTCGAACTGGGGGCTTAGTGTGGACCAGGCCTAAGAAATATTTGCATTCTTGTATGATTTCTACATTATACAGGAATTCTTTGTGCTTCTACAGAGACTTTATCACTTGCAAATGACAGAATTTCTCCAAATGGGGCTGAAGATTCCTACACATTCAGGCAACAGAGTCTATCATTTGCTGTAGCGGGTGATAATGCTCAAAAGGACGTTTTAAAACATTTGTACAGGCTAAGGAGCATGCGCACAAAAAGAGCTTGGATTTTGCAAGCTAATCTAACCCTGGGTGCCTAAAGTTAGATTCCTGGATCCATATTCAGGCATCCAAATATAAATGATTTGATCTGCAGAAGACAGAGGGACCTGCGGATTTTCAGCACTTTTGAAAATCAGACCACTTTTATTTAGCTTCCTAAACATGGACGTAGAAATCTACCTTTAGGCACCCTGGTTTGAAAATGTTAGCCTCCGCTCTGAGCAAACACATTCCCCCCAAATTTTATATCCCTAGTCTTTTCTCAAGACACAGTGCCTATCAGATCTTTCATCCAAATGCTCCTAGTGAATCAGACAATTGCTGATCAGGAGGGTAAAATTCAGCCTACGGAAATCACAGCAAGTAGAATTTATTCTTTCAACTTCAACTCCCTCACCAAGCTGTAACACACACTCCATTTGTCATCAAGCACAACAATAATTCTTGTTTACCTATTTGCAAGGTCAGCAAAAAGATGGAGGGCCAAATTCTCAGGTATTATAAATCAATATATCTCAACTGAAGTCAATGGTGGGTTTACAACATCTGAGAATCCAGCCTAAAATTTCCCAATGTCTTTTTTATATGTAGACCTTGTCACACTACTAACATTGCAAAATCTGTTTGCTCTTCTCACAAAGACTATGCACATACTGACTAACGTGGAGGGTTGCCTGGTACACATTTGCCTGGGAGAAAAATCAGCATGCTATCTCCCATATACATACAATCTTATGATTAGAAGAAAAGTTTTGATGAGGAGAAAGCAGGTTTTGTTGTTTTTGATGAAAAGTTTAAAATTTTCAATGGAAACTCCCTGCATTTTATTTTTGATAATCTCTACACAACAGTCATTGATCAATTATAGATGGCTTTGCTTAGCAGCCATTTTCTGCAGAATGTTCTTTGAACTTCTTGTCATTCTTTAAAGAGATGCAGAAAAAGAAAAGCTGAAAAAAAAACTAATTTTGTCAAGTTGACCTCTTCGGGAATTATCACCCCCTTTGGAAATACCCATTCAGCTTCTGCTCTAATTTGGACTACAAGAATTTATTATAATTTATTCTGGATCCCTTACTGAAGCTGAGCCCTCCAGTGACTCTGAATACAATTTGCAGTCCAACCAAAGTCTCTGTTTTCCATCTGTGAAGTATTTTCTTGACACTTTTTAATGCTTAGCGTTCACACTCTGTCTGCTTTCTCAAAACAGCCTCACCTCCTCCTATTTTAGAGATGCAAACTCTGTATTTCTTTATCATTATCCACAAGTGTTTAAATATGTGAATGATGACAATCTGCAGCCTTATTGGTGGAGTCTGAGTATTTTACAGTAAAAACAAGAAGCTTTTCTTAAACTGCAAACTGAAACTGAGTTGTGTACATCCTGGCTTGTATTATACTCAACGCATGAAGCTAGGATTCTGAGAACAGTAATGGGAGTCCTGCATTCCTGAATTCTTACTCTATCTGTGGGCCTTACCAAATGCTTCTATTCTTTCATCTTTAACTCCTGGGAGTGTTATGAGGATTAGTTAGTAATGGTCTGATTTTAGAGGTGTGGAGTACAGTACTTGCAGATCTCATTGAATGGTTGCTGCTGAGAGCTCAGCATTTCTGAAAATTAGAGCACTTATTTAGGTGCCTTGTAAGGATTTTGGGGCACAATTTTTTAAGGCCACCATTTTCAAAAACAGGAACCTATGAAATCTAGAGAAACTCTTGAAGGTCAGTATGGTAATATTATGCAGGAGGTCAGACTAGATGATCATAATGGTACTCTCTGGCCTTAAAAATCTGTAAAAGGATACTTGTTAGTTAGCTGTGTCTTTACCAAAATGGAAGTGTGAATCATAAACAAGAAATAAACATCAATAAACCAGAATACAAAAATTTATAAAGTTAGGTGTGAGGAATATCCCATGTAACCATCAGGTAAACGTTCTGTGGTGATGTGCACACCATGATGTAGGACAGATGTAATGTTCTCTTCTGGGAGCACTTCCAGTTTTGGCTTTCTTTCTTGTTAGCATTCATTAGGATCAAGATACCTTTAAATGGTGAATATGCATAGTCATGTAGTCACCACAAACAGTGAACCATGGGTGTTATCATATAACTGTGTATAAAGCAAAATACCCTCCAGATTAACATTATGGGGCAGTACAGAAGTTAAAATAATAGTATACCAAATTCTTCCAATCATGTAACAGATGTGTGGAGACATATGGTCAAATCAGAGTAGTCTAACAGTAGGGCTGGGTAAGTGGAGTAGAAAATTTGAAGCACTGCATGGATAGTAATGCTATTCAATCACTATTTGTTTGGCCATCTGAGGCATGAGCAGGGCCGGCTCTGGCTTTTTTGCCGCCCTAGGCAAAAAAGCGTCCCGCCGCCCCCGGCCCCCCGGCGGGGAGCGCGGCAGAGGAGGGCGGCGAGCCCAGCCGTGGCCCC